CAAGTTTATATCCTCAGCCACAGGCCAGAAATCAGTATCAGCAGACTTACAAGGGCTTACAAATGATTAGTAGAGGCAGTCTGTTGGAAATATATAAAAAATTCCACAGAGGACAAAGAAGAAAAAGAAATCTGGGAGTGAAATTAAAAAAATAATAATAATAATAAAAAATCTGACAAAATTCACTGAATTTCTGGGGACTGTAGGGATTCACGCTCTTTGGCTGCATTAATTTTTGATCATTTTCTTCTACTTTCTTCAAGAAAAGATAATTTGCCAAAAAAGAAAAATAACCCAAACCTTTGAAACTCTGACCTGTCACAGGCTCTTGGTATTCTGCTGAGCTGAAGGATGGCCTGTAACACCATCAGTTTATTTTCATAAGTAATGCAAGACCTACTCCAAGCTGAGCACATCCAGAAGGTGAAAGACATTTATTTTAAACCACACTCAGATTTCGTGGCGATGGGTGCAGTAAAAGTCTAAAAATCATAAAAGAAATTTTGTGTTTATTTTCTTTAGTAATAAATTCATGGTTACAGTTTTGACAGTATTTTTTAACATTAAGAAAAAAAAACAGTAAAGTTCTCTTTTAAAGTGATGAAGATGGAGTGCATTACTGAAGGTGCAAGAGGTTATATACAAACAAAGCCTACAGGATTAAATAATGCGGAGATAGAGATTTGAGTCTAGAGATGCTCTGGAACAGGGCTCTTAGGTTAATGTAATGAGCATATTTTGGTACAGCTTCATCAGAGGAGCTCATATTCTCTTATGAATTCCATTCCACAGTGCCACAAAGCTATGTACTGTGAGCTTCATTTTACGGACGTGGAAGCGTATAATTCATCTCTAATAATTCTGGCCAGTCAGTGGGGGAGCCAGGAGAAAATCTGAAACTGTTGATTTCAAGTGCTCTGCTACACCAGATAACTTTCTCTTCTGTTCCTTATAGAGGGAGATTCATTTATCTCTCCACTGGCTCTGAGGGTCGGAAGGAACATCCCTGAAATGGTAAGCTGGCCTTTTACATTCCTAAGTGGCTCTTTTTAACTTATCTATTGTTTATTCATGCTGAGGAATACTCAGATTTAAAGAATCTTTTCTGAAATCCACTCTGAATTCAACATGGCACAAACAGGTATCTTTTGATATCCTGATGGCATGAAAGACACATCAGCTTCTGACAAGCTCATCTAGGGGATTGGGGAGGACATGAGGTTATCCCTTTCCTAAGTTATTCGACATCTGGGTTTCTCCTTCTACAATGTTTTGACACAAGTTAATTGCCAGCTTCATTCATGTGAGTGGATGCTTTTAAACAGAGCACTGCAAGAAGTCATGTGCTTCTTCTTAAAGAACCAGAGTACACTATACCATTTCCAAATTCACATCCCTGCTCAGTTTTGTTATCAGTATCTGTAAATATATATATTTAGCTTCACTTGACCCAGTGAAGCTTCATCTGTCACACCAGAAAGTAAGAATATCACACTGGATGTAAAGGACACTGAAGAAAGGGAAAAAAAATACACTGGAATTTTAAAAGACCACATTACTTCTGGCAGCTTTGCCTTTTGATTCTCATCAACTTTTTACCAGTCCATTTCAAATATCCACAGAACTCACAAATAAGACAAGAGAACCAACACTTTATTGATGCTTACAGCCAGGGATAATAAAAGGTTCTCATTTAAATCGTGCTGGCCAACCTTTTTAATTGCCATGCTCCACCAATTCGCTTTGAGACCTGCAGCTCCTCTGAGAACTTCTGAAGACAAAATCCTCCAAAACAAGTAGATAACCTCTGCCAGCCATGATTGTAAGAAAACACTCTGATTAGCCAGTGCTCCTTCCACCAAATTGAGATAACTATTAATTTTTTGTTATGGGATTCTTCTACAGGTATTGTAGACAACTAAATTTTTTGTCATGCTAAGCAACAGAACACAGGACATTGGATATACTCAAAGGAAACTATAACTCTATTGGGAAAAAAAGATTTTAAATGATGTCTGGTCACTTTATACATGGCATATCTCCAAGTACATGCTGAATTGCAAAACTGTAACACATTCAGAGAGAATATTTATGTGTCCCCTCTTCACTACATGCGCAGTATTTTTCTCCCATGTCTCAAAAACTGTAGCCACAATTTCCAAGTATATGCACGATCAAATTTCTATTGATTTAGCAATGCCTTTCTTTGATGTCCCTTGCCTTAACCTCATTTATAAAGCTGTTTTGCATTATTTCAAACTGTCAATGATTTGTGACTCATGAATATTCAAATCTAATTTGCACTTACCTTTTTTGCATGCATGCTTACTTGTAATATGTCTCATTTGCCCTTTGTTTTGTGTTTATTTGCAGATTGTTTAGTGAAGTAAACTCTGTTTTTAAAGTAATAGCATCTATTTAAACACAAGTGGACCAATTCTCACCTTAGTACTGTTTTATATCACTGTAATTCCATTAACTTCAATGGAGTTTCTCCTGCTTAAGTGAAGAGAAAATGAGGTCCATGAACTCATTTTGGCTGTTTTTTCTCCGCCCCTAATCTTACGTTAAGGTTTTTTTAGCATGTTCCACTGGAATGGCAAAAGTTGTATTTTATTCAAAAGGAAATATCGAGACCGAACTCTCAACATTTCAAGCTCTCTAACACTGTTCAGATCTTCCAATTTGAGTAAAAATTAAGAATTCTTTACACTGACTTATTAGTATTCGTTCATAGCACAATACTTTATTATCAGAGAAATAAAAAAAAAAAAAATTTTGTGGCTATAGTAAATCTAATAGAATAATTCAACAACTTAGGAATACTAATAATATATCCTTTCCCGGGGGGGGGGTGGGACATAGATCTAGAAGAGTACTTCAGTGCTTCTCACAACACAATTGGCCCTGAATCTGGCTCTTTGTGTGCTTGTTTACCTAAAAGGAATGTCTGTTGAACTGCTAGATGCTGAAGGAAAACAGGGCCTAGATCTTTATATTGGTTTATTCCCATTTGTGGGGGATTATATAATTAAACCAGTGCCTCTCTCAACTATTAAGAATCTTGCTAGACGTTTATTTCAGGAACAGTTACCATGAATGTATTGGATGCAGACTGGACATTTTTCAGTGAATTTTTCAGTGAATGAAATCTGGGAACAATAGGAAAAAAGAAATTTTCTTTTGAATCAAACAGTCTGTTCTTACTTCAGTGCCCAGAGCCATTTGTTAGAGGAAGCAATCCAAGGTTCAGCTGGGGGAGGGGAAGAAAGGTGATCGATTATTTCCAATAATGTTTGAAAGCTGAAATTAACCTATAGCGACAAAACTGGTTGTGTTCCTTGGCTGCTACTGCAACTCTATTCAAAAAGCAGCTCTAGGGGTTTCAGATCAGAGGTCTTGTTCTGATCATGGCCATACAACCGAAAATTAAAGCAAGGATTTTCCCTTAACAAGTATTAGGTAAATCTATTTTCTTTATGGATTAAATCCTACTATATTAAATTGAATGGAGGCAAAATCAGGCTTTCTATGAATAACTGCACAGAACAAAAGCATGCATACACAGACAAGCATATGTGTTGTGCACTTTTATTATTTGTTTAGTCTCTTGTTAAAATAATTTCATTCAACCTATTGGGAAATAGAGCAAGTGTGATAGGTGACCAGTGACACATCAAGAATAACAAAACAAAAAGCCCAAATGAACACATCATGGATGAGTTTTAGGCTGGAAACTGTTTGCCTAAGCTATTCCTGATGAATATTTTGAGGTATAGAGCCCTTTTTCTCTGAAGATTCAATGTACTTCCCAGATTTGATGTGAAGTTCCCAACTGGGTACAAGAGATCTGAGCCTAGAAAATAAGGCTGCATTCATCCAAGAGTTTACTTCAAATGAAGGCTTTTATCAGCTGTTCCATAAAAGGGAAAAATATTTCAGATGCTTATTTTTAGCTCTTCACATGAATAATAGAAGTGAAATGACTTCAGTATTAAATGTGAAGCAATTTTTTAAAAAATCTCACATGTAGGTTAACAATGATATACGTGAGTATAGTATGTGAGGGTTTTCAGTAATGCCAGACTCGTGTTTTTAAATGGCATGTCTCTTTTGTGAAGCTTTTGTGAAGTCCAAGGTAAAGTCATACGCCTCAAACGCCCAAGAAACAGCATTATCTGGTGTGACACATGCCGAGATATGTCTGATTGTGATCGTAATATAGCCTTAAGGTAAGAGACCAGGACAACCACTTGTATGCTATTTTTTTCAATGTTGTTTACATTTCTCTACATCAAAAGAAAGCCTTCTGCTAGAGATATTTATTTGCATATCAGTGGCAATATTTGTGATTGTCTATAAATGTATATGAAGTAGTATAAGATTAATTTGATAATTAGCACGTACTTTAAAAATGGAATATAGTAAATGATCATGTTTCACCCCTGAAAAGTCTGCTGATTTTGAAAAACACTTTGAAGAAGAATGTACCACTATAACATGAGAAATATCTAAATATGACAAACGAAAAACTTGCCTGCAAATCCCTGAAATATGAATTAAAGAACTGATGCTTCCTGTGCTGAGGGCTTACTTCAAGGCTGGTGCTTATCCACATGTGCCATCAGGAGGAGCAGGAAGACTGAGCACTTGCACGGGGACAGTGGCACCTTCCAAATTCAGCATGCAGAGCCCTGTGTTCTCCATTCGTGTGGTTTTCAGACAATGGAACTTGGGCCTGAAGATACTTGAAAGCTATCAGTTTTTAAAACATTGTCTGCAGAGATTCACTGCCTTGAGGAGATTTTCTCTGAGCTTTTGTTTCCTCTGTGGGTGAGACCTATGGGCTGATTGGCAGCCCTTCTGATGAGTGAGGTTTACAATCACTAATGTCTTTGTTTTGGATGTTTGGACCTTTGGACGTTAGTTGTAGTCACACATCGCAGCACAATTTCCTCCCTAAGTTATCAGCATTAAAGTCAGTAGTGATACAGCCCAGATGAGTTTCACTCTTTGACTTTATTGGCTAACTTCAGTGGTGGAAAATGTGGTGAATGGAAGCATGTAAACACAGCAAGGTGGTTAGGCATTTCAGTTATAGGAATTAAGAGAGTTTCTGCCCTTTAATGCCAAGGCAGGGATAATATCCCACCTAGTTCACTGCAACTGCAGACACCCAGATTATTTTATTCTGACATGAAAAACCTAATGATGTCTGAGAAATTGTTAAGCCTGCACACTGTTCCTCTTCTTCCTCTTTATGGATCCTTTGGGACCATTCTGTCCTGCAAGAACTGGATCCTCCATTCTCTCGGTGTTGCTGTGACTCATCCTGCTCAACCTGCGGAGATTCAGGTGGAAGAATAAGTTTCTCAAAATGATGAACAACTGAGGAAAAAGTAAAATCAGAACAATCCCAGAGTGTTCACCTTCATAAAATAATACGTATTAACTAATGTATGTTTCCTCGCTTACCTTATACCTGTGTTTCATTCCCTTGCATTAGTGAAGTAATTAATTTCACAGGAGAGATGAAAGGAGCCAAAGAGATGACAGCAGGCATGTGTGAGAAAGGAGTCAAGTGTAGGTCTGCGATGGTGGGCAGCTGAAAAGTGTTTCTGACATGCATTTCGTGAATGTGAAGAGAGTGTCAAGAAGTGCACACAGAGGAGCTGAAGGTGTGTTGTGTTTTCTGCTGTCTCGAGCAGGACTGTATGCTGTGTATCTTCTGATAGATTATACCCGGGGAGAGTGATGTTGAGCGTGGTGTAACAGTTCTGATCTTCTCACACAGCTTTGGTCATTTACAGTGAGGGGTTAAACTGAATTCCCTAAGAAATAAATGTTTCCTGCTTTGCTTTGCTTGGAAATATATATATATGTACGTGTATACTATTTTTTAGTCTTAAGGTTTCTTAGGGGAAATGCTGTTTCCAAGGGTTGTTTCATGAGCTGGGAGCACTGTTCTAAACCTCTGGGGCAAATGTTTTCATTGAATTGTCGAAAGAGCCTGAGATTGGCAACACCACCCTGCCCCTGGCTAATGAGCCTTCCCCGAGAGAATATCAAGTGCAATTACCTTTCAGGGAATAACAACATTCCAAAGAACCACGGACCCTGCAGAGAAAAACGAAACATACATTTGTAGGTAGAAACAGCTATGAATCAGCATTAATTATCCAATAGAGGGAGAAGGGTTGCAGTAAGTCTCAGTTCCTGACTTACACCATAGATTACAGCAAAAGTGAGCTACTTATAGAAAATATATATAGAGAGAGTTCAACATACCCCAGCCCCGGCACGCACACTTTGTCTTGGTCAGGAGCTGCGCTCCTGAGGTGAGTGTCCCGACCTCCACTTCGGAGATGGCTGCAGGAGGCGAAGAGAGCTGCTGCTGGCGAGGGAGCCCCAGACGGCAGCGGGATAGTTAATGTAGCTCAAAGGCTCATTCGGGGTCTCCCACGTGCAGACGTGGCCGAGGCCGCCGGGCGTCCCATAGCAGCTCGGCTTCAGAGCCGAGAGGACCTTGTCCCCCCGCGGCTTCGTGTCCAGCAGATGCAGAAAGGAGAGTCCCAGGCGATTAGGTTTTATTACGCACATTCCTAGAAAGAAGGAGGGGGGTGGGAAAGGAAGACACCATATATTTTGGGTTGAGCGATTGGAAAAACATGTGAAATTCAAGGGACTTCTGGATGTCACCGAGGCTCCCTGAGCGTGTCCGCTTGCGCTAAGCCTCCCTCCGAGGCGCGGCTCTCCGTTGCCCGCTTCATCCCGCGGAGCCTCCCCAGGGAGCCGGGAAACCCCGCCGCAAACTCTTCGGACGTGAAAAAGCCGCGGAGAAGGATAGGCTGCTTTGCTGAAACCAGGCACACATATATTGAGTTTGTCAGGGATCATAAAATGTGAATTGATTATTCAAACAGCCATTGATTATAAAAGAATGCTTACTGCAGCAATGGGAAAGGTTAAAAGGAAATTGACCCTCCGCGTACGTGACATAAAGTCATTACGTAAATGAGATATTCATACAGGGTATAATCAAGGTCACGCTAATTTTATTTGCGGTATTCCACTCAAATCTCGGGCTTCGTTTGGAGGCAGCGAATTGTCCCCGAGGGACCTAAAACACCAGGTAGACCGCAGGTGCCGCTAAAATATGTACACACCCACGTCAATACAACCCGAGGAAGGCTGCGCGTTACCACGGGGACCCGCGGGCGCGGCGGGCCCGAGCCCCGTGCGGTGCCGGCGGCCGCGGAGCCCCCCGGAGGCTATTGGCACCGCGCCGCTGCGGGGGCCGCCTCCCCCGGGCCGGGAGCGCGGGCGGTGCGGGCGCTGCCGAAGAGCCGCGCCTTTCCCAGCCGGGATGGGAACGTGTCAAAAAATTAGATGTATTTATGCACATATTTATCCCCTCTAATTATAGAAATTAATCCTCTTACTTATTACTAAAAGGTAACGTCTGAGGCGTCCCTTTGATGTTTAACAGCATCGTCTGTGGCTAACATTCCAACTGATTAAGGAATAATTGTTGTTAAATGCTTTACAAGCGGATAGTGTTTAATTGAGAGGCATTTATAATTCTACGGCTTACCGCAAAATGAAACGTAATTAAAAACGCAGGAATTTCCAACCGATTTTATTCCAATTATGTTTATTGTTCCGACTAATTATGGCAGAAGGGGCGCGTTCCCCGGCCTTGACCGGCACGCGGTCCCACACGCACTGGGCGGGTTCCCCTCCCCAGGTGCCCCCTCACCCTCCCCTCTTCCACCCCTCATGAGGCGCTCCGGCCCTTTGCTTCTCCCCTCTTCGCAACACCTGGGAATGCGCGAAAGTGCTGGCAGCACTCTTTCCTCGGAGTCACCGTAGAAAGGCTGATAGATTTCTCGAAGAAGCACTTGCCACACACTGCGGCAACCATCTCCTAGCAGGATCTTACAGACCAAAGTAAACAAAGCACCCCAGGGGCGATTTCCTCCTCTTGCGCAGCTCACTTCTCAATTTACCTCCGAAGCGATCGTAAACACGCACAAGAATTACAGCAGAAATCACAGTTGGTCTGAGGAAGACGTTCCGGATGGAAAAGGCAGAGACTGAACGTGTTCAAAGGAACGGTCACTGAAATACCTGCTGGCTGCCTCTCTACGGGCCAACCTTCCTTCTCCCCGGGAACTCGGGCTCGCTCCAGCGGCTCTTCAACCGTACATCTCCCTGGGAAAGGGGAGAAGAGGGAGGGAAAAAAAAAAAAAAGGGGGGGGAAACAAACAAACAAAAAAAGATATACCACCACCTCCCCCTACCCCCGCACATCGGGTCTGTCTCCCTAGCCCGTGAAGCAGCGTCAGCCTCACAACGGGTGGGGTGGGAGGAGAAGTGACCCGCTGATCGCAGTGTTTGCTCGATAGAAGGGAGCGATGTGGCAGTGGATTGATTTATTGCTGAGTTTGGCCGCGTCCCGGCTGGGCGCGGGAGGAAAAGGAGCGAGGGGTGCCTGGCACCGAGCTTACACCAACTCAGGGCTCACGGCTAAAAGAATCATCAGTTCAGACTCTGCTGCATGGGGGCTGCGGGACAGGGGACACAGAACATCCATGCTGCTCCCACTCTGCTTTCCTTAGGGCTCTAACCAGCTAAGAAAGGATTCCCTACGGTCATCCCTCCCTTTGTTACCCACTGCTACCAGCACCCGGCCCTACACGGATGGGTCGGGGCCGCTCTGCTCGGAGGGCTCCGAACTCCCAGGTGGGCTCCGGCTCGCCGTTCTCTCCGTGCAAGTTCTCGGAGCTCCTAAAGGGTTTAACCGAGGTGTGAGAGAAGAAAAGCGTTTAAATCTTACTAGGGAGATAAAAGGGTGGGAGGATTCCCTCTGATGGCAAGTTAGAAATAGCCCGAGTTTTCCAGAGGGACGTTCGAAATGGACTTAATGGAGCCATACTTCTACTTCTTTTGCCTCAGCAGTGAGTCCCGGATCCTTTCAGCATTGACAGAGATTTCCAGAGAGGGGAGAAGGGGGGGTACCCGGGGTGGCCATTTTATGTAAATGAGCAAATCCGAAATGTATTACAAATCCGGTGTAATAAAACTGACAGTTTTGACAGTATTGACAACATAAATATATGTTGGAACACAGCACTTTCAGACACTTAACCGATGAAGCAATAAAAAGATTCGACTACAATATTTCAAATAATCGACATTGATGTTTTGATACATCATTTTTATACCTCGAATCGATCTATCACTCCGTGACCGGTCAATTTTAAGTAAAAATCTGCTGCAATTATTTACGCTATTGCCAATGACGACCTAATAACTGTTTTCAATTAATTACAACAAAACTAAGCATTATGAGGACCAATCGGCCGTATATCCCGTCGTACAGTCCCTCTCGTTGTTTGTACGGAAAGCAAACACATATATGCATATTGCATTCTCTTTGTGGGATCAAAAGACAGGCGTACAAAGGCCATCCCAATCTTCGAAGAAAGAGAGAAAGAGAGAAAGAGTGAAAGAAAAGCACCACCACCTCTCTTTCAGTAGCACACCACAGGCTCTCAGCACGCACTTCGAGGAAACATTATAATATTTTGTCAGCTCATTCCCCATGCAACACCAAGCCGGCTGCTGTGATTTTTCCCCCCTTTTCTCTGTGGACTGCAACCCACTTCAGACAATGACCCGTGCGGCTCCTTCCGAGCGGGGCGCTCCGCGCCAGAGCTACCGCTTGTGCGGAGGCTGCCGCAGCGTTCCGGGGAGGGGAGTGGGGGGTGGGAGCACATTGTTCTCCCGGACTGAGCGCTCCGGCGTCAAACGCGAACGGTCCTCTTCCGAAGTGCCAAGGGCAACTGGGGAACAACAGTGAGTGTTCTGAGTGAACGAAAGCAGAGCCTAGCGGAGTTGGGAGCTCCTCAGCTGCTCTGATGTTGCGCTACACTGACGAGCTTGTCCTCACTGTCCCTTCTGTTACGATATCATAGTGCAAAGAGGGATTTTTATTTACTTACTTATGTGTATTTATTTATGTTTTGGGCTCCTTCGAAGAAATGTAATATAGATTTTGAACTACCCTGGTAGAAGCAGCTTTACTGGGCAGCCCAAACCGGTATTTTTGTCCCTCTGGTTTACGCTGGAAATATGCACGGCGCTGCTTACAGACTTCCCTGTACACCCCCGCCAGTCCACGGCATACACATTTCGCCGCTCACTTCACGCTGGTGCTTCCCACGCACCCAAGCGTGGGCTCAGTCGCTCGGAGAAGGGGCGGGGGCCCCTTAGGTCCCCCCTTCTCACCGCGGCCGCCGTGCGGAGCTGCAGGTAGGGGCGAGTCTGGCGAGAGCCCACGGCCACGCGAGAGAGTTCCGCGCCTCGGCCCCGCTGCGGGCTCCGCGCCGCTGGCGCCGGGCTGAGGGCCCTGCGAGGACTGCGCGGCGCGACGGGAGCACGCTGGAGCCCCGCCAGATAGCGCTAGAGGGCCGCCGATGGCACCGCCGCGCCGCGGCCGCGGGGACACGGCCTGGGGGGGGCGGCCCGCGGGGCCCGGGCAGGTCTCGGCAGTCTCGGGGGGACTGTGGGGGCTCGAGAGAGGTAAAGGAGCCACATCGCTCTAGGACGTGGAGGTTGCGTTGGGGTTTTGTAAAAAGAGGGGGAGGGGTGGAAGCAAGAGTTGAAAGGGAAGTTTGAAAGGGAAGTTAACAGGTAAGCAATGAACCTCCTCCTAATCCAGCTCCCAAAGACCGCAGCCATACCGCAGCTGAGGTCAAGAAAAGTTCACCGCGATGAGCTACCATTGACTTTCTGTGCTGGGAAGGTTTTCTCAAAAGAATAGATCACTGCAAAGAGGAGAGCGCTGCGTGCAGGAGGGGGGTCGGGGTGAGGAGCTCCATGAATCCGGCGATCCGAGGAGCTCAGACTTGCGGCGTTCCGCCGGGGCGGCCGGGACAGGACCTGGGAGCCGGGCGGCTGCGGAAGCCCGGGAACGGAGGTCAGAGGGCCGAGGTGGGCTGAGAGAGACAGAAGTGGCCGTAAGAGTCGAGCAGGGAGAGTGTGCAAAGGGCGATTTCAGAGGTGGGAGCCTGAGCTGGAGAATAATCCTGACTCCAAAACCGCAGAGGTGCTATCTGCACCCCACGCGTTGTTTTGGGAGAGAAGCAGAAAGAACAAATTCCGTGGATTTTGCACAGGAGCCTGGTTATGCTGTAAGCCCGGAGACGCATTAACACATAGACTGCTTTCTTCATTAACTCTGACACGTTTCCTAGAACGATGGTTCGGGATAAAATGCTACTTCCAATATTCGGAATTACTCGTTCCGCTCTGCTCTGCCCTCAGCCCATCCATTCCGGCTCTGTCTCTAAATGTACGCGGTATATTCCCGAATGCAATGGCATTGCCCCAAATACTCAAACTCCGCACACAAACAAACATTGAATAAAGTTACAAACGAGATTACGGCCAGAGTTATTTGTCCCTGCAGCAAGGCGTCAATTGTTCTAACTGATGTAGGGGCGCTAAGAGGATTTAAACCACGCGAATTTAATAAACCAGATTAGCAATAGGTGCTTCCCACAGATGCTGGGAACCGCACGGCACATCCACTCCGCGTTATCTATCAGAGCCCAGCGCTTCTTGAGAGGGCTGCGGGACATTTCGGAAGGATACAAGCGGGTTTCATACAAGCACAGTTTGTCCCCTCGAAAAAAAAAACTTCCTATTCGCACTGAAGCTCCCGCTGCACGCCCACGGCACACACACAGCAGTGGCTCAAACACACCGGGGAACACATTCCGGGATGTTACCTGTTGTGGTGCCATTGCTCCGCAGCGCTGTGCCGAAAGGGAAAGGGGAGCGGGTGAGGGCGGCGCGGGGCCCGGCGCACCTCGGGGCGGTGATTGGAAGCAGACCCGGCCGGGCTGCAGCGGATTTTCCCTCCCTCCGAAGGCTAAGAAGCCGATTTGGGAGTTTGAAGGGAATAGGTTTCAGCGTCCATATTTGTTCTGGTGCACTTGTAAAATGCGATTTGAAGAGGATCTTTAGCTCTCTGATTGTCTTTGTATTGTTTTTCTTGAAACGGATCTTTTGCCCTTAATGAATCCCCACACAGCTGGACAGCTCCTTCTCGGACACTGAGAGCGCTAACCCCAAACTGACCCCAATTTGACACCACAAGATGAAATTTTACCGCCTGTTAAAACCATTTCCAGCCCCTGCCAAAGGAGCTGGCTGTTGACTGAGATGCACTTCCACACCGGACACCTCATTTCTCTTTGGACTTTGGGGCCGATCTGAAAAGAAAAGAAAAGAAAAGAAAAGAAAAGAAAAGAAAAGAAAAGAAAAGAAAAGAAAAGAAAAGAAAAGAAAAGAAAAGAAAGAAAGAAAGAAAGAAAGAAAGAAAGAAAGAAAGAAAG